ACGGTACTTTGGGGCTATGAATATCATGGACGACTCGGTAAGACTCTTCCAAGCCTCTCTTTATCTTAAAGATAGTGCCTTATCATGGTGGAAACGTATGATGAAACCCATGGGGGATGGAGACCCGGTCTTCACGACGTGGGATGGTTTTAAGGAAGAGTTTAGAAAGTATTTCCTACCCGTGGATGCGAAAGACGAAGCCCAGGCCAAGCTTCGTCGTCTGCACCATAGGGAAGGACAAATCCGGGAATACGTTAAGGAATTTTCGGACTTGATGCTTGAAATTCCGGATCTCTCGCCCAAGGAGGCGTTCTTTACTTTCATGGACGGTCTCAACCGTTGGGCCAAACTTGAGCTACAACGGAGAGAAGTCCAGGACATCGATCGGGCGTTAAAGGTGGCCGAGTCGCTTGTTGAGTTCCAAAAGAAGGATAGCTCCAAGGACAAGGGCAAGAAGCCGTTCCAAGGCAAAGGTGGGGGAGACAAAGGGAAGTCTTCCACACCCGCGAAACCGGCAACCGACTGTACAAAGCCGTCTTCGAGCAAGGAGACCAAGGGGGACAAGCCAAAGAAGTTTCAAGGGTGCTTCTTGTGCGGGGGAGCGCACATGGCACGTGATTGCCCGTCTCGTTCGAAGTTGGCAGCATTGGCACAAGGTTTGTGCCAAGAAGAGGAGAAACGGGTCGCTTGCATGAAACGGCTAGACGCCGTGCATGCCAAGGCCGAGACACGTCAAGGCCGTCTTTACATGGAGGCATCGTTCGCAAACGGGTCTAGATGGGGCATGCTAGACACGGGGACCGACACGAGTTATCTCACGGAAGAGGTAGCCAGTTCGCTTGGCGTCAAGTGGATACCTAGCAAAGGCCGTTTCAAGGGCGTGAACGGCGAATGGACGGGTCTTGTAGGCGAAGCCAGGGATGTGCCTCTCAAAATCGGCAACTGGTCAGGTACGGCTAATTTCTCCATTGCACCTATGGATGATTATGGTCTTGTGTTTGGCATGGAGTTTTTAGACCAGGTAAAGCCGATCATCGTGCCTAGCAACAACACGATGGTGATCCTCCAAGGCGAGAAGCCTTGTGTGGTAAAGTTTAGACGGGAAAATGAGATTAGCCCTTCCCAGCTGAACAAGGGGCTAAAACGGGGTGAACACACCTTTGCCGCCATGGTGTTTGAGGAGGAACCATGCACAGAGGAGCCGGAAAAGGAGGAACGAATCCCGCCTCCCATAGAGCGAGTCCTTGTTGAGTTCAAAGACGTGATGCCCGATGATTTGCCCAAAGGTCTTCCACCAAGGAGGGAGGTTGATCATGCCATCGAGTTGGTGGACGGGGCGAAACCGATAGCCAAGGTGCCTTATCGTATGTCCCCTAGCGAGCTAGAGGAGCTCAAGGTGCAAATCAAGGAGCTACTTGAATCGGGTCATGCAAGGCCGTCTAAAAGTCCGTGGGGTTCGCCGGCCTTATTCCAACGCAAGAAAGATGGGACGCTACGTTTGTGCATCGACTATCGGGCGTTAAACAAACTAACCGTGAAGAACAAGTACACTATCCCACTTATAGCGGACTTGTTCGACCGGCTGCAACGGGCACGGATCTTTTCCAAGCTAGACTTGCAGAAGAGATACTACCAAGTACGCATAATACCCGGTGATGAACCGAAAACGGCCATGGTGACGAGGTATGGCTCTTATGAGTTTCTTGTTATGCCGTTCAGTTTAACTAACGCCCCAGCCACGTTTTGCACTCTGATGCAACGTGTGTTAGCAGATTTCATTGATAAGTTCGTTGTAGTATACTTGGACGACATCGTTATCTATAGTAACACAATGAAGGAGCATGTGGAGCATCATAGAGCCGTTTTTCAAGTCCTTAGGGAAAACCAGCTCTATGTTAAAAGGGAGAAGTGTTCCTTCGGCCTTGAGGAGGTGTCGTTCTTGGGACACATCATTGGTGGGGGCAAAATCCGCATGGATCCGGCCAAAATCAAAGCTATCGTGGAGTGGGAGGCACCCACGAAGCCAACAGAGCTGAGATCGTTCTTGGGGCTTGTTAATTACTATAGGCAGTTTATTGAAGGGCACTCCGCTATAGCCGCTCCACTAACGGATCTCTTGAAAAAGGGGCAAGCTTGGTGTTGGACACCAAAACACCAAACAGCGTTCGAGGCTTTAAAGGACGCCGTCACTCGAGAGCCAGTCCTAGCTCTCCCTGATTTTGAAAAACCGTTCGAGGTGTGCACAGACACTTCGGACTTCGCCATTGGGGGCGTTCTCATGCAAGATGGTCACCCGATTGCCTTTGAAAGTCGCAAGCTGAACGAGACCGAGAAAAGGTGACCGACGCACGAGAAGGAGATGTTGGCTATAGTTCACTGCCTTAGAGTTTGGGAGCATTACTTGAAGGCCGCCACACCGTTCAAGATCAAGACGGACAATCGGGCAGTGAGCTACCATCAAAGCCAACCTAAGCTTTCAAGCAAGCAAGCACGTTGGTTGAACTTCTTGGCCGAGTTTAAATATGAGCTTGAGTATAGCCCGGGGAAGACTAACCACGTGGCCGACGCCCTAAGCCGAAAGGCGTGTCTTGCTCCAATCGTTAGCATACCCGATGGGACGCTGGTTGATCGCATCAAGAAGGGTCTTGAGCACGACTGTCAAGCCCAAAGGTTCATGGAGCTCGTGAAGGAAGGCAAGACAACACGGTTCTGGCTTGAGGATGGGATACTTTATGCCAAGGGGAACCGTTTGTACGTGCCCGCATGGGATGGACTTAGAAGAGAGATTCTAAGGGATTGCCATGATAGCCGTTATGCGGGTCACCCAGGTACGCATCGCACACTTGCCTTAGTCCATGAACGGTTCTATTGGCCTCGCATGTGGGAAGACGTGGAGACGTATGTAAGGACTTGTCTAGTTTGCCAACAAGACAAGACCGAGCAAGACCACCCGCATGGCTTGTTATCACCCTTGCCTATTCCGGAACGCCCGTGGGACAGTGTTTCGATGGATTTCATCGTGAGCTTGCCCGTTTCTGAGGGTTGCACCAACATACTTGTTGTGGTAGACCGTTTGTCTAAGTATGGGGTCTTCATACCCGCCCCAAAAGAGTGCACCGTGGAGATAACGGCCAAACTCTTTCTTAGGTATGTGGTGAAGTATTGGGGGCTGCCTACATCGATCATAAGCGACAGGGACTCAAGGTTCACCAGCCGTTTTTGGCAAGAACTCTTTCGTTTGCTTGGGATGGAGCTCAAGATGTCTACATCTTTGCACCCGCAAACAGATGGGCAGACGGAGCGCATCAACGGCCTCTTGGAGGTGTACCTCAGGCACTATGTGGCAGCCAACCAGAAAGATTGGGTACGTTTGCTAGACGTTGCCCAATTTTCCTATAACTTGATGCGGAGTGAGAGCACGGGCAAAAGTCCGTTTGAGATTGTCCTTGGTTTCCAACCGACTACGCCTAAGGACATTCTTGGGGGCTACAAGGGCAATAGCCCACCCGCATACAAGTTTGCCAAAGATTGGCAAGAACGAGCCAACGAGGCAAAACTCTACTTGGAGAAGTCGGCCGCGTGCATGAAGAAATGGGCAGATAAGAAACGGACCTGTCGTGAGTTTGAAGAAGGCGATCAAGTCTTGGTAAAACTTTATGAGCATGGTCGGAGCCGTGGTTTACACAAGGGTCTCATGCGCAGATACGAGGGTCCTTTCACCGTTCTTAAGAAAGTGGGTTCGGTTGCTTACAAGCTGGAACTACCCGAGACCTTTTCAAGGCTTCATCCAGTCTTTCATGTGAGCTTACTTAAGCCATACCGCAAGAACCCAGAGGACGAAGAACGGAACGTTTCCTCAAGGGCACCAGCTGGCGTACGCGAGCATGAGGAACGGACCGCAGAGGAGATCCTTTCTAAGAGGATCGTTCGGAGCAAGAGCGGGGCAGCAACTAAAGAATACTTGGTGAAATGGAAGAACTTGCCAATGAGTGAGACGAGTTGGGAGCCAATCGAGAAGCTTTGGCAATTCACCAAATTGATCGAGGACTTTGAGGAGAATCGTGCACCCGTTCCTATCAACATTGCCTTCGAGACTTAGGTGCATCGGGGCGATGCACCGTTTTGGTGGGGGAGGATGTCACGGACAGTTTTTCTTCCCCACGAATTCGGGTGGTTTGCTGCAAAACAGGCTATTTTCGTAGACGGACATGGGACGGAACGGTCTAGAGCCTTGTGGAATTCTCCGGTCAAATCTCGAAGACTCTGGAATTTTCTAGAGAGGCCCGAACCTCTCTAGAAACGGGTGGAACTGTGTGGAAGCTACCCGAGTTTGCTAGAACCATGTGGAAGATTCTAGAGACTTGTAGATATTTTGAACTTAGAATATTTTATTGTAGGAATTCTCTAGAATTCCATTATTTTATTATGTACATAGAATTCTCTAGAATTCTTTAGGACTTGGGGTTTGCCTATAAATACCCCATGCCCCCTTCATTTGTAATCCATCCAAGCTTAGTAGAGTTCTCAAGCATTCCTTAAGCTCTCTTGTGCCTTCATCGTTCTTTCACTTTCAACTTTTCTTAAGTTTTTCTTTGCCTCCGTTCTTTAAAGCCTTGCCTAGCTTTGCACGCTTTGGGGGTCTTAAGGCTGAGCTAGCATTTGATCGTTAGTTGTTTTGTGCTAGTGCCGCACGGCCGTTACTTTGAAAAAGTAAGCCCGTGACATAGCTAACTGGTGTCCAGTCTCGGGCTCTGGGCCAACCATCAACACCTCGACGTCTCCGCCTCTTGGAGGGCTGGAAGCATGGAAAATACTCATATATCCGTGCCTGGAGAAGGGTCATACAACCAGCCATCGTGGTACACCATGCTCGACTAGCAATCCCAAGCTGACGGTAGAGGAATGCTAGTGTACCGGATCCCCAGGAGTAAACTTCAATATTTTCGATACCTCCGTGGAGCTCGTTCATAGGCGAAGCAGTGATCCTGCCCCGACTCCTATCAAGGAAGAGTGTCGAGGCTAACAAGATCCACACCCAAGCTTAAACCTGAACAGCGGGGAGACCCTGCGACAACACTCCTCGATCAAAATGTCGCTCACACCTCCATGGCTCCATGCACACTTTAACTCAGCCACTGGCATCCCAAGCAATCCCGCGACCTGCATCTTCAAAATTTCCCCTTCCGGAGTTTGGGTCAACAAGTAACCATCAAGTGGAATCGCCAAAATGTGTGCCACATCATGCATCATTATGGTCATTTTCCCCAACGGCAATTGGAAAGAGTTTGTGTCGGGCTGCCACCTCTCTATGAATGTAGAAATAAGCGCAAGGTCAATGTCATCATACATGGAATCAATCAGATGATACAAACCGGTATTCTGAATCTGCAACTGTGCATTCTCCGACAACCTCGCATACCATCCATGCAATCTAGACAAACTCTTCTTCGCTGGGTTCATCGTCAGGTAATCTCTTGGTTCTCCATTCCACAACTGATAATCAGTGTGGCCAAGAAAACTAGGAATCACTGACCCATCACATGGCCCGCCAGGTACGTCGTCCGTCACAACCCAATCATCAGTTTCTTTGGTAGAAACCTTAGACCGTCTGCTAGTACCTGAAACCCGAATAAAGAATAGTGGATAAATACTTAACCGAATGCAATTAAGAAATTGACCAAGCAGTAATGAATGCTAAAATATTTACAAATACGTACCTGATGACGATGCAGCTGCCTCAGGACGACTAGAGGCACCAATGGATGTGCCACCAAAACGGGAACGAGGCTGACTAGTCAGAGGGTGACCTCTAAAAAGAGTACTTTGTGGGCCGGCATGATGAAGAGTAGTACTGGACCTCTAAAAAGAGTACTCTGTGGGCCGACACGAACACTGGAACCACCAGGAGTGTAAGCTGAATTCAGGGCCGATAATCCAACAAGGGTCTCCCCTCCCCCTCCCCCCCGGGTAGGGTGAACTGGAGTCTGATTATCAGTACGACCAATGGGGTTCAGTACTGAGTTACCTCCAAAATGTATATCCCTCCTCTCAGGCGAGGAATACTCGGCTGCCTCATCCTCCTTATCCACATCGTCCCCTCCACTCTCAAAACTATCCTCTGCTGATTCCTCTCCCTCAAAATTATCATCATCATCTACGTTGGCTAACTCACCAAGTGGGCCAAACTTATGATGTACATTTTTCACTTTCTTTAAGTTTTTTTCTTTTTCTACTCGATGTTCTGCATACAGATTGCGCGTAACTGCATGCTGATGTCCAGATCTCTCAAGAGGCGATATCCCATCCTACAAAAGTTTTAAATTTTACACGTAACTTTAATTATTCCTTATTGCGTCCCAAAAAAATTAATAATTTAGGTTAATTACTTTAATACAGTTTTATATTATTTAAATACCTAATTATAAAATTATCTACTATACATCTTAAGTGTACAATTTATTAAATCTACTAAATACAACTAATAATATCTACATATTTTATTTTTTATTTTTTAACCAAAATTAAATAAATATTTAATTTATTATTTAATTTTAACCACAATTAAATAAATATTTTATTAACTCTAATTATCTACTAACCTCTTGTTTTTATTTAATTTGTACTTATTTTATTTAATTTTCCTATACTAAGTATTTAATTTCTACGTTTGATATTTTTTTGAGGCTAATTACAATTAAACCGACTAATCCTACGAATATATTTTCTATAATTAAATTAATTATAATAACTTTCATAATTTTCCAAATTAATTTAAAAACTGTTAAACTCCCAAAAACTACAATTGAATTCCTAAAACTACAAAAGTATTATAACTAATTTATTTACTGAAGATTAAACATATACTTTTAATATTAGTGTTTCTTAAATAAATTAAACGAATAAAAATAAATTCCTACCATTAAACTATAAAATCATAAATTTAACTAATATAAATAATTAAACTAAATTTCATAAGATTTACAATTACTAATAGTAACAATTAAATTAAAATTACTATACAATTCATAAATAACAATTAAATTTAAATAAATAATATAAAAATTAATATAATACAAAAAAAAAAAACCAAAACTTGATAAATTCTAGCGCCTGGCGAGACCTTTCTTGCCCCTCCTCCCTTTCGGCGGCGAATAAAGGGGCGCCACCCCAGCCCCGGCCCGCATGGGAGATCCGCGCCGGGCGAGTAGAGCTACTCGCCCGGCGCGGATCTCTTGCGGTCGGGCTGGGTGATTTTTTTTTAAAAAAAAAAGTCCTAAATAATTCTAATTGAAAAAAACAATTCAAATTTACGTACCTTCAGTTTTCGTAGCTCTTTCCGTAGCCGTTTTATTCGTTCAGTCATTGAATCTAAGTTTTTGGGAGTTTGGATTGAGAGAATTTGAAATGAAAAATTGATTTAGGAATTGAAAGAATGAAATTGAAACTCTTAATTTATAAAATCATGTAGGGGCAAAAAGGTCTTTTGATATTATATTAGGGCGCTCAAGGGAAATTTTTAGGGCGTTTAGTAGCCTCCCAGTAAATCAAAGAGGACAACGAGGTGCAACTTTAGTGATAAGACACCTCACCAATTAACCAATAGGTCACCGGTTCGAATCACGCCAGGGTAAGTGGTTTATTCATACTGGTCCTAATGTTGTTGATGTTGTTGTTTTTTTTTTGTTTTTTTTTTTTGGTGTGTCAATTAACACAAAGCAAAACCAGTGCAACGTGTGCAGTAATTATTAGTAGTAACATTTTCTTCCTTAATTTTTAACAAAAATATTCCCTATTATTACATTTTCAACTAGTCTTTTATGTATCGCGCGTTGCGCAACCAGTACATATATAGATTGTTTTTTTTATGGTTTTAGAATTTTTATATACTTCATGTTCGGTCGAATTTTTGTTGTTACGTAATAGTGCATATGAATGTGATATTTTATTCTTTTTAATTAATTTTTTGGATTTACGAAGTGATTTTTTATCGTGCACTCTCCCCGCTATTTAATCGTGTATTAGAAAAGAGTTTTTTTGGTAGATATATTTGTTGTGAGAGATAGCGAAATCTTTGGATTTGGCGGTGGACGATTGTAAGAAGAGAGAACGAAAATTAAAATAAGGCAGTTCATAAATCAAGTTATTTTAGTGGAGGATATGTGATGGTTTTGGCTTCAATAAAAAAATCAAGAGACATTAGCAAGAATAAGTAAATATGGCAGGTTTAATTCTGTAATTATCAATCTAAAATCTACTATGTTTCCTAAATTAATTGTCAATTTGATTATTACAATTAAAATTTAATAATGCTTGTTCTATTGCAAGTTTTTATTATAACCTTACAACCAATTATATTAAATCTTTGAAACTACAACCAATTATTTTAAAGAAGTCCCATATTCGTGTGTTGCACAATCAATTTGTATTTTTAATATATTATAAATCGATGTCAATATTGACAAATATTTATAATGAAATGTATTTTGTATTTATTATAATCTCTGAAACTTCAACCTACAAAACGGTAGTTATTGAAATTAAGAGCTTAAACGTGAACCATATTTTGTCTAGTATACAATATGCATGGTTCACTTTTATAAATCAGATTTACATTTGGAAGTGAATGCGGAACATTTACTCATTAAGTATTTTAGTTGGTAACAACTATAATAATTTGCAATATGTTACCCCAACTTAGTTCTTTAGAGATTCAGAATGATCATATTTGTTACCGTCCACCGGCGTAAGTGAATAGTCTATTAGGGAAAAAAAATTATAATTTTCTTTTTCTTGACGCATGTACAAATTAGAAGCTTGACATTATAGTATTATGGTTGTTCCTTGCAAATTTGATAGTCCGCATGTGATAGGAAGCATTTGCCAAAATGTTGTAAGCATTTGCCAAAATTTTGTAAACGAAAAAAGAAAAAAAAAAGAAAAAAAAAGCATCAAACGAATGCATGGGGAAATGGTGTAGATAAAGGGGGGAAAAAAAAGAAAAAAAGAAACACACACACACACACACACACAAACACAAAACAAAAAGATGAAATATCAGTCACGGTTTTCCCCTCGCTAAGCCTTAGCTCAGATTTCACCGCGTCCAAATTCTTGGCCCTGTCAACATTTCCACGCATGTTTTTTTGTCTGAAGTTCGTTTCTCATCTTCATGTAGCTGCAAGAGCCTTGTCATTTATTTTGGACAGGTCTACACTTGGGGATTGTACTTAAAAGCCATTTCCAAAGGATGCCATTGAGAAAATTACAAAAAGTCGTCAATCATGTAGATGACATTCTGATTCCTTCAAGGCTCAAAAACTCGATCTCAGGCCAGTGGAAACAACAGGAAGTTACACTCTAGCGGATTCTGTATTCAAAAGTGCAAAAAAATAAAAAAAAATTAGAAAAATCATTGCATTATCAGAGAATTTATAATTTAGTTGCCGCAGCTCTCCTATTACAAAGTAACTCCATCCAAGAAAAAACACTCGAAACAGAATGCTGCATCTGTCAAACAGACATGCATCTGAAACTGTGATATGCATCACAAATTTTTGCTGCATCTGAAATTTAGAAAGACATGCGTTTAAGTTCTGAGAACTGCTTAGTATACAATGAAGAAGTCCTTTGACAATACTAACTAAAGCCAATCGACGTATCCTCCAACTATTTGGAGTATATGGAACACTTTTTTTTTTTTTCTTTTTTTCTACATGTAGCACAAGGAGTTGATCATATGGGAGCAATGATTTCCACGGTTCCAAAAGTTGTGATCAAATGAAGTATATTGCACATGCTTTTTTTGAAGATTCCAATTTTTTCATTTCTCTAGCATCATTGTTGTTACGCAAATTTTATGATTTTGCAGAATTCTAGCCAGAAAGTTCCAACTACTAATCTAATAATATCGTAGTTTCTGTTCCAGTAATAATCAAATAAAATATCTCACTAATCTAATAATATCCGAGTAAGATCATAAAGCCAATCATATTCAGCCTCTTCTGTCCTAGCACCGTATAACCAAAATTATAATATAAGGTCATCAATTATCAAAAGGGCAGCATGAACACGCAAAAGTTATTCCAACTCATTAATTTTCAACTTACAATAGAAAGTCCAACTTTCCATGCATAGGTGTAAGGAAAAAACAGACAAGACCAAATGTGGTTACCATAAGCAAATAAGGCGATGTAAATCCACCATTTGAAAACTGAAATAACCTACTGTTTCCTGTCGCAAGTGTTTCTTATTCAGTTGGTTAAGCTACACTTTCAAGCCTCCTGGAAGGAATCAAATTAATGGGTTGCATACATGCACTTTTCTACTCATGTTGCAATACAACACTTATTCTGGAGTTAGAGTATCAAGAGCCCCAAATTTTCTATATGACATTGCCCAAACATGAAAAGAACATCGTTACCAGCTGCTACTGAAAATAATATTTGCTATTGGGAAAATTCTCCTTTTCCAATCGCTGGTTCTGAAAATTCCAACAATTCTTTATATGAATTAATTAGCACCTTTATTCATGTATTCTTTGTTAGGTGATGATGTGAATTGCAAAAAGTTTATGAGCTAGAGATGAAGTGCTCGAGCCAGGGAAAAGGGAAGCCACTTTATGCGGTACTGATTTTCTAAATAAATTCTATTTCTGGCTTCCCTATTGCTATTGGAATACATATATTCTTGTTCCTCTTTGGTTTCAGTTGAAAGGAAGACAATCTATTAGTTTCCAAACCATTAAAATTATCAACAATCTCGCTCAATTAACAACAAATTCATAACTTCAAAACCGGAAAAAATGAGGGAATCAAAATTAGTACATGTTTGTAGGATTTGGAAAAGAACCAGAGAAAAATCTTTACAAATATTCAAGCTTCCTCTACCATATAGAGGTAAAAAAAAATAACATAAATTAAAAGGTTAAAAAAGATTTAGCTGAATCAAAGACGAAAAAATCAAAGAAACCGATAAGCTGAAGAAGGAAGCTTTTCGTGATCCTAATTATGAGGTTGCTAGGGGTTTTTATAGACATGCTGGCCGACAGGGGATTTCTATTTACATCCCAGAACAAATCCGGAATCAGAGAGGAACTGAATTACCTATTCATATTACAATTCCAAATTTATGAAAATATATAAATAAAAATTAAACAGTAATTTGTTAGTCCTATTACACACACAACTCCAAATCAAATAAAAAGGTAATCTCCTAATCTTATTCCGTCCAAACACCTAGCTCCGCTTCGCTTCCTCCGTCATGATGTCCACCGTGATACGATACATGCGGTAGCTCCCCCACGAATTTGATCTCGTACAAGTGAAGGAAGTCATTCTTGCAAAATCTTTTCGATGAGGTGACTCCGGTGGAATTTAGGGTTTTTGTTTGGTTAAATTTGTCGAGGTGGAATCGGGATGGTACGAATTGGAGAAGCATGTTTAAGGAAAATATATCTTAGAAGTTTAGTGGTGGCGGAGGATGCAGAGAGGGAAGCGGCAGCAGCGGCTAAATCAACGAAGGGGGACCTGAGTAGGCGGAGCACTGCCTTATGGAGGTTATTAGTGGGAAAAAATTTGGGAACAATGACGGGGGCTGTTTTGGGATTTTAAATGGTATAAGTTATTTTTTGTTTTTTTATTTTTTTTTCCCTGGAGAAACCCACAAAACGAAGTCGTTTTGTTGCTATTTTTTAACAAAAAACTTTCAGGTTTTGTAAATATATTGTTTTCAGGAGTGGGGATTCCAAAGTTAAATCCTGAAACGACGTCCTTTTATAGGTTAGGGGTTATTTTTTTCAAAAGGTTACGGGTTTTTTTTAATTGGAATAAACTGAATTTTTGAATTTTTATTTTTGCCCCTAATAAGTCGCTGACATCATATCAACCCCATCTGACGGACGAGATCGATTCGACGGTGGTCTTTGAATATTTTTTGGGTATTATGTCTTGCCTACTGTGCCTTTTATTGAAAGTGATTTATGAAATCCTTGTTTTACCCTTAATAAGTCGCCGACGTCATATCAACCCCATCTGACAGACGAGATCGATTCGACGGTAGTCCTTGAATATTTCTTGGGCCTTAAATCTTGCCTACTGTACCTTTTATTTAAGTATAAGGACAAATACAGTACAGAATGTAGTATACTATGATTTTTTTTGGAAAATTTTGATTAAGGGCATATGAAAATTTTTATTTATTACGAAGGGCATGGATATTCTTTGTTGTTATAAAATACTTTTACAATTATTATTTTTACTGAAAGACTGTCATCCCCTTCTTCCCTGTCCTTATTATATTCATCCAATTGATTCTTTCTTTCCAAATCTCCAAAGTCAACCAATTCACCATATTGTTTATTTATTT